ATAATAATTTTGGGGTTAACTCTGGCCCAGATTAGTCTTCCTAGGTGCATAGAAATTTTTATTCACCTGCAGATTTCTATTGTCCAGAGAAATTCAGCTCATGTCATGGTTCCCCTCCTTCACTGTTGCTCAAGAGACCATGGAAGCCACAGGACTGTGTTGACAGGACTAAGGCTGGACAGGGTTTCATACACCAGCATACGACTAGCATACACCAGCCTTAAGGATGATAGAAAAACGAAAACAGCCCAGCTAACCTGCCCCTCACTGCAAATGTGGCAGCAGAACATCATTCCCTGAGGCAAGAGAGGCAGGACATCAAATCCAAGCCGGTGGGAGGGGAAGAGACTCAGAGAGCAGCTTCCACCAGAGCCTGCCTCCAGACTTGTAAATCTCTGCAAAGATGGCCCTCAAGGCACCCAGCATGAAAAGGGACAATTTCTTTGACCTGAAACTGTCTCCCCAGTTACACTTTGAGCCCCTCAGTTTGCAAGATTTCACTACCATGCGTACCAGTGCAGAACAGCACATCTGCAGTCTCACGGAATTCACACGCAAGGTCCACCAGATCTGGTTTCGTGACAAGCTGACCTTATGAGAAGAAAGGATTAGTTCCAGGAAAACTCTTCAAAAACATTTTTCATAGGATTGAAAAATGAGATTTATTACAACAAAGGGAAAGGAGGAAGCACTGTTGCAAGCAGTGGGGGCCTGCTGGCATATTAGGGAATTTACTGCGCTGTGTGAAGCAACTGACTCCCCATCGCAAAGAACGAACTTCTTTAAACTTCCTGGGGAGTATGCTGATGGAAAAGCTTGATACATCGGATTCGGGGTTGTGGCACTCCGATACAGCTGGCTGGGATAAGACTGGGAATAAGAACAGGGGATCCCCAAGTCCTTCCAAGCTAATATTTGACGTGCCGAGCCTTGAGAACAAAATGGTATCTTCTAGCTCTCCAGCATGGAGTGTGCTGCCAGACAGGAATAGACTGTTAACTTCTCATCCACTGGGACCTGCCAATTCTGCCTGATTAGAGTGAAGGCTGATGGATATTCAGTGGGATGAATGACAGTTCAGTAGGAAAGGACTGACTGAACAGTTGTATGTGACTTCACTCATCTGCTTACAGCATATCACTTATCATGATGGTATTCAGAAGTCTCCCTGGAAGGGTTCCCATACACCCATTCATTTGAAATCTTAAAAAAAATAGTAATTAAGGTGTTCACTTACTACCGTGTAGAATTACTACATTATTTTTTTTCTTTTACTGGCTTCTTTAACTCACAAACAGCTGCAAAAGTGTTAATTTTTGAGGTAAAACTCAAATAACAAAATTAGTTTGGTTGACAGTGGGAAAAAAAACAGTATCTTGTGGGTCATTATTAAAAGTCATTATTAAAAGACTTTGGAAGTGAATGGAAGAACTAAATTAAATCACTGTATAAATAGAGCTCACGTATTCTACATAGTCATGTAATGATGTATATACAATGAAGATGGCATGATTTTAGTGTAATATACTCAACTACATATTATATGTGCTCATCTGGTTGAATTAGTGTAAGACCCCTGCTTGACTCCCTCCCCTGACCACTGTTGTTGCCAAAGTACGTGGTGATTAATGTGCCCTTCACCAAATGAGATCGGCTCTGTCTGATTGTATTAGTTCCTGTTCATTGGAGTAACTGAGCATCAATCACGTTCTAATCAGAGCTCACGTACATTGATTTTTTTTGTAAACAGCCTCACCATCAGGTTCTATCATAGCCTAGATTAACTCCTTAGTAATGACAAAAATTAATAAAAAGTATTTTCACCTAAATAATAAACATGCTTTCATTTTTAGCTGAATAATCCTGTCACTTTAAATTGTCACTGTAGTTTTAAAGTCTGCAACAGATAAAAAAACATGTTTAGAACTGCAGTTATTACTGTTATGTATACATATGAATAATATAAATACTGTACTGCAGCATCTTTTAACAGTACCATTGTTAATAGGCATTGCTTACCTTTAGCGGTAGTCCTTTTTAAAAAAATACATACCAAAAAAGATCAAATTAAGTGACCTTACGATTCAAATGAACTGTTCTTTAAGAGTTACTGGTACCCAAATATAATTTAAATTATGATCCACCAAAAAAAAATATCCTTGTAGTGTGTAGCAAAACAATACAATACTTGTCATACACAGAAGCAAGAAGCTCAGAAGAGTGAACGTTCATCAAAAGACGAACATCAGTGCTGATGCATTTGACTTTTAAAAAGAAACAACTAAATTAAAGAGAACCCTTATCTTTTGTCAAATATTGTCAGCTACTCTACTCAACAGTTTCTTACAATCAAGAGCAGTGTATTATATCTAGTGATGGACTTGGTAATTGTGCACGACTAACAACGCCTCAGTGTCTGGGCAGTACAATAAATGAAGCCCTCACAATCTAATGTTCCCACTTAATAATTACTCACTGCATTGATCTTTCTGATCTGTCAAGTAGGAACAAAAATATTATGCTCAATTTAAATCCTGATATTGAATAATATTTCTATTATTACCAGGCAACTATCCAGAGAGTGGTCTTACCGCACTAATGAGGACAGCAGCACTTCGTTTGACTACAGGAGAAAGACTCTGGGCCTGGGAACCAGTGGCTGCCCATCCTGTACAATGCCCTCGGAATTTCCATCAAGGATAAGCAAAATGGTTTGAAAGGACCTGAAAAGCCCTGAACCTTTGTCAAAGTTTCACAATATCTAAATGATTTGATTGCATGGTTCTTCTGTGCCAGATTTAGGCAGGGATCAGCACTGTCCATATTTTCAATAAATGCTTTAATTTTGGTATTTCTAATAGGACCAAACTCAAGCAGGAACCAGTCTACTGAGAGAACCCTCTGCTAAAACATCCATTCATGCATGGGTTTGGGAGGTTCAGAGAAAAGTCTCAAAACCTGGATCTTCCCCTAAAACTTCTGTGGGTCATTCCCACTTTCTGACCATATCAAAGCCATTTCCACAACAGCCAGTACCCAAGCTGCAGTCATAGCAAGCTGGGAAGTATTCTGCCTGGTATGGTCCACCTATGTAATTTTAAGCGGTCAGCAGTTTGTATCACAGGGGATAATCAATGCTGAGTTAAGAAAACACGTTATCCTGGCATGCAGACAACAGAAATAATGGCAGTATATAGTTTCATCTGCATAATAAATGATACAAAGTAAAAGTTTTGTTTCTTAGTAAAGACAGAATCTCTCCATTGGGCAGGTACAGGAACTGAGCAAAGGAAAGTAGTCCAAAGAGAAGATGCCCCTTGCACAGTGTACGGCATTACACTTTATCTGCATTTGTGGAACACAGGACTGGAAGAGACCTTGTTCTGCACTTCCAAGTTCAGATGTGTGTCATCTTAACCAATGTCTCACATAACTGCTTTCACAAATTTCCTAGGCATCATTATCAAAACAGTTGGTCTTCTTACATCTCCACTACTTAGGACGGGAAGACTGCTCCACACTGTCACTGTCTGAACACGTATGAACTACCTCTAATTTCCAGGCTATAATTACCTATTGTCACTCAATACCAATTCGCTGCTGTGTCATTATCATTCACTTTTATCTTAGCTAGATCCACTTCCTCCCTATGTATACCTCCTTGATATACTTACTAGAAACAAGTATAATCTTGGCTTCTCTTTTGCTAAGCTGATCAAAACCAAACTCCTGCTCTCTCCTCTCTTTAGAGCAGCTGTCCATTTGCCCGATTACCTCATCCACCTTGGAGATGAGGGACAAGAAATGTGTAACTGCAGTCCAAAGGTCTTTGAATAAGACCCTAACATGATGTCACCACTAGTCCTTTCTCTGCTGGATATCCCAGTCTTGCCTATTGAATGATCACATTTGCCTTTTTCACAGCTGCCCCACACTCTGTTTCATAGTCCTTGCCCAGTCCAGGGAGGCAGGCCTGCTTCAAATACAACAAGACGGACCGTTTTTCTCTTTCCCAAATGAGATGCTAAGTGAGCTGAAGGCACAGTTCCAGGCTCTCAGCAAGTGCCAAACTTTTGCCTCTTGGCTCCTAGCTCTGCTGAGCCAGGAGTCACTGTGTGCCATTCAAAACTGACTCCTGTGCTCTCTTTCACTTGCATTTTGTTGACTGCTAATCACTTCCACAGTCCCCGAGCATATGAATGTCCCTGTGAGTTGTTTCCAACTGATAAGATGAAGGTTTGTGTTTTCTTTTAACTAAAATCCTTGCCTTGCATTATACTCTTTGATTTCATCCATTTTTATTATCCCAGTCCTCTCGGCTGCTCAGTTCTTCCTGTACAATATTCCTACTCCCCAAAGCACTGCCACCATTTGCTAAGATTATGGCATTAGCACACTGCATCCTCACTCACACTCTCTGACTTGTTGTGCCAATATTTCTCATTAAAATATTGAACAAGAGATTATGTCCAAGATAAAAACAAGGACACCTCCTTCAGTGCACAGGGAACGGGACTGCTCTGATCGAGGTAGGTATCAGGAGAAACTGTCATTTGGCAGCAGTTTGCAGAGAATCAGTGGGTGCCCGTGACTGCCTTTCCTCGCTCCATTTCCAGTAAATGAACTGAATTTCTGAGGCAGCTCGTGTGTAAATACAGGATCACACAAGCTTCCTCAGCGTGTTGGTGGGGCTGCGCAAGTTGGCAGCATTCTTTAACTTTTGCAGTCTACTTATGATTTTGGTGAAAACGGACAGGATCTGTAGGTTTTTTCCCCTAAGGCATGAGCCAAGATTAACAACGTGTACATCATGTCTGAGGAGGTCAGAGACACAACTGCACCAATATCCAAACACCTTTTATCAGCCTGAACACTGGTATGTAGAGATGTAAATCGATGTGGAAAATAACCGTATCTAACACTTTACTTTCTGATTGTTCCCCATCATATGGGAGCTCTTTTGCTAAATGAAGACAGTGATGGACGTAAGGATGGATTACCTGTCTGATCCATTCCATGCACATTCAAACTTGTCAAAGATGCAGTCATTTTCATAGAGGGAACACAGTTTGCTCCTAAGGTAATCATGGACCTGTTTCAAAGAAAATAACTGTGGTTATTCTTGAAATAAAACAAAATATAAAACACCACAACCAGCCCCCAACTCTCTGCTTTATCTCCCACGTTCACTTTCAAAATATGCTGCACAGATTGGTAGCTTTGCAGAAGATACTGTGTTTAAAGTCTAAAGAAGCTATCTGTACTTTTCCACAGCCCAATTAACCAGGTGCTACAGAATTATTGTTCCAGGAAGGCATGAAGCATACCTCCCTCAGCAGGCTGCAGACCACCCCTCTTCAACTTATTTGTTTCCTGCTTGGGTGATTTTCTCAGTGCTAGCCTAATTCCCAAAGACATTTCACCAGCTGATACCCTAAATGTGCTAATTAATGTGCAAGAAATCTAATTTAAATAGTAACAAAAATGTCATATTCCAAGATAAGTGGACCCTCACTTGTGGCAGAAAGAACTTGGCTTTATTAAAAGAACCTGTAGTGTATGGTACTACATATATTTGGGTAAGGTATTTCAGAAGCCAAATACAGTACAAGGTTGTAGTTGCACGGGCTGCAAATTAGAACTCTAATTTAGCCCAAGGATATCTCCTATTTGGCTGAGACTTAAAAACAACATTATAAATTCTCACTTACATACTTGAAAAGTGGGACTAACTAGCAGAAGACCTCTCCTCTGGGCCACGTATCTCTGCTGAACAAGGGTTATCATATAAAGACCGATCTCATACAAACTCTTTCAATCCTTTGCTGAATTTGATTAGTTTTCCTTCTGGATGACTGGTTTCATTCCGCAAGGAAATAATGAGCTAGAAAATCCCTGCCTAGATGAATTTACTAATGCACTTTCACTCCTGATGTTTTCCTATAGCTGTTGTAGAAACTGTAAAAGATGTGTAGATGGCCTCTTGAGCACACATACCAATGCAATAGCCGAGGGGCATAATTTAGCTCTGGCAGAGGTACTGGTTCTTGCAAGTGCAGGGAGACTACTCCTGCTCCCAATGGCCTGAGGGCATAAACATTTCTTCTAGTAAGATAACTTCCATCAAGACCAGAGGAGGGACAATGACCTTTCACTTATACCTTCTTTAAAGTAACCCATTTTCAGTAGCCAAATTGTACCGTATCCTAAGAATATTTGTAATGTAAGGTTATTAAGGATTATAAATTTTAGTTATGGATCAATTTTCATTAATAGATGAGTGAACACTGAGCTGTATATCAACAGAAAATGTCTTATACAGTAAATAACAGGCAAATGGTAGATGCAGATAAAACATTTCACAGTTAAATGCATTTACCCTCATAGTGAGTAATAGGTCAGAACACTTTTAGTACTGATGCAGTTTCTTGCACCCTCTGTAATTAAATCCTTCAATTTTCTCTTTACTTAAAGCCTTTTTTATGTTAGCAGTGTAATTTGTTACAGAACTGGAGTCCTTTCCTTTATCATCTTTGTGAGCGCCCAACACTTGGAAGAAATAGAAAGGTTGGGTAAGGCAAGAGAAGGAAATAGATTGCGTTTTCCTCATTGACTGTCATTTCTAGGTCTTCCTCTTGTTATCATTTCCAGCAGCCATCTGTCGTGACCGCTGTCGTGTATACACCCTTTGCAAAGCGTGTCCAACTCCACAGCTTGGAGCTGTGCCTTTCTATCAGTTCTGTCAAAAAGCATTTTGCAGTTCCTCTCTCCGACTTCTTACTATCCCTTCAAAGTCTCAGCTCCTTTTTCTTGACTGGCTCTGTCTGCAGACTTGGACTACTGCCTTGGACAACCAGCTTGCTCTTCATGTGGAGCCTTTGATTACCACATTTGACTACATTCAGACCCTCAGAGTGACCATGAAAAACTAACTGGAAGAAACACTTAATTTTCACTTTGTTTGCATGTTCATCTGCCACTACCAATTGAGGGTAAAGTCAGATTTGCCTTGTCTGTTACATATTGTTCTTAGCACATATGAATAGTACTTGAATCCAAACCAAATTAATTCCTAACTAATTACAAGAGGTATTCTCCTTTTCTTCACTGCACTGTTTTAGGTCAGACCTTCATGGAATTATCTAGCAATTCCATGCTCCAAACTAACACAGCAACATGACTACGTGGGGAACTATTTCACTGGGACTGAATACTCAAAATCAGGAATTGCACTGGTAAGTGACACATCAGTCCAAATCCCTATGCAACAGACCCTGCCAAAAGTGAATCAAGTTATTGTCAGCTATGAACGTGTTCACCTCTGGTTGCTGCTGGTACAGTTCTGCTGGAGTAGTTCACCTAGCAGCTTCAGAAAAGTATCCTGCTAGGCAGGGCTGCCTTGCAACATTCAAGCAGTGGCCATTCCACTGTATTGCTCTTTTAGTGCTGTCCAGTGCACCATATTCTGCCTTTTTTTCTTTTATGTGAAGCATAAACAAGAAAAAGTCATGTTGAATCATTGTCAGCAGATAACGTGTTTCAGCAAGGCTGCAACAGCTGCTCTGTGCAATAGCATTCTTTTAGCCACAACATTGGTAAGAAAAAGAACTTGCATGAGGAATTCAATTTTTTTTTGTGATACTAAAATTGTAACCTGATAATGAAGCAGTACAGTCATAGACTTCGTTCTTTCTTACAACCCTGTGGGGAATTCTCCTTTTGTGACCCTCTTCATGAGTCTCGCAGCTAGACAATATCTAAGTGGCTACCATGCAGTGGATCAAATGAGAAATTCAACCTTTTAATCTTTTAATAATACACGTCATTATAATTATGTGGATACATAACTGAAAATGTTAGGTTTATTTGTTGCCTTTGGGTAATCCACCACAAAAAACTTTTTGAGAGGTCTCCAAGTTTCTATACGAGATTTATATATGTGTGAGAGAGATACCTCTAAGACAAATTATTTAAAAGAGTAATTTAAACCACTTTTTCTTAAGAACAGAATTCTCTACTCTCTGCAGCTGAAAAACATGAAAGGTTGCCCAGAGCAGTTGGACCATGTGAATCCTATGGAGTCCTGTGCTATTGGCTTCCTAAGGCCCCTGAGTTCCAGATTCTCCTCTAGTCCACTGTAACGCTGAGCAATGCATCTGTATACTCTTTACAAGGCACTGGATAAATATTTGAAAATGAAAGACAATCCATAGGTTAAAGTAAGGCAGCAAGAACACTGTTATATTTGCAGGGGTTTTGTTGTTGCGGGTCTTTTTTTTTTTTTTTTTCCTATAAACTTCAGATTGCAATAATTAGGACTGAAAATTTTACATTATACTTATTTTTCCCATCTCAGCATGAAGAAATATAACTTTTTAACTGGCCCCACTGTTGGGTGTCAGACTGATTTAAAGGTGGCCAGCGTGTTTCACAGCTACCTACATGAGGAAATAAAAGCAGATGTCAAAATCAAGACAAACAGGTTGGCTTGACCAGCTATTCCTCTCCAGGGACAAGGCTGCCTACTCCATTAGCATAAGTATAAAATAATATATTACCTAAGTTCCCAAAAATCTGAGATACAATCCTGTTATATAAAACACAGTCTCGCCCTTACCTTCCCACTCCATTTTCACAGCACATCAACATTTCTAACACATTTAGCATTACAAGTACTGCCATTTTCAGAGCAAATCCAATTCTGTAGTTTTAAAGGTATACAGGCTCAGACATGCCAATACTAACAGAAGACACACTGAAGAGTATCCACCAAAATTTAATGGGTGCACTGGAAAACACTGGGGCCCACTTTGTCTACTAAACACTAGCTAACAAATACCTCCAACATTATTGATGTAAAATTTCAGTTGTTTTGAGAAGACATGATACCAAATTCTCATTACATGTTATTTTAAAACCAATCTTAATTACAGTTACTGTGAACTACCGTACCCCACCTGCCATTATACAGACACAGAAAACAAGGGATTGTTCCAGCATTGTCGCAGGACTGTCACTAAGGAAGCAGTGCGAGCCAGATGAATGACATTTTTCCTACTTTACATACTCTTCTGTAGGTAGCTTAACAGTTTTTTGCTCATTGCATTTCCATAATAAGCAGTTTCTGTGTCACAGGCATATTCTCCTTCTTCAAGGCAGAGTCAAAAAATGTAAGCTCAGCCCTCTATTGCCAAACAGAACAGATGTCAGAGTACAAACTCAGTGCTGGCTGGAGCCACTGGCATTTTGTCTGGATAATATCACAATGAATTCAGGCAACCAGATGTGTCTGTCTGGCATTCGCAAACTGCTGTGTCAGTGGTGATGTCAGGGTTTAACACTGATAGCTTCTAGAACTAGGCACAAGAGAGACAACGCATAGATGAAGTTTTAAAAAAAAGTTCTCAAATGATAAAGGTGTAAACTCTCAGCAGTCTCAGTGGGAGCAGAATGCAAAGCAATACACAAATTCCTTTCCTTAATTTCTTTTAAATGTCAATAGTGAAACACATCATTTGAAAACAGATGCCAAAGGGAAGAGATGATTTCCCTTGTTAGAAGCATCATTTCTTTCAAGAGCACAGTCCACAGTGAGTGTTACCCTGACTCACCAGGCCTTACACTTCCTTACTAATGCTGAAATTGCCCTTTTCCAACTACCAGGATGCCACTGTGAGGATTTTAGCCACCTTGATTAGCAGCTCTCTTAGCTAGCTGTTTCTTAGACCAAGCAATGAGAAGTTTAGGAAAACATTGAGTTTTTGAACAGTGAGATGCTTTTATATTGTTGCATTTCAAGACGTAGGAGATACCCACCTGGTATGTTTCTACAGGCTTTGTTTCCATGTTCAGATCCCAAACCTTGACAGTGAGGTAATCTCTTGTTAGCATGTATCTACCGCTGTGACTGAATTTGACATCTGACACTGAAGAGATAATTTCTGAAAAAAATGATCTGTTACTGGGGTCTTCTGGTTCTTCATAAACTGTTCAAAGAAAAAGAAGCAAGAGAGAAATTAGCATTCTATAAAAAAATGCTCTGTTGTACAAACCGAACCGTGCATTTCTTGTGAAACATGTAATTCAATGTACCAAGGAACATGATATAGAATTAATTATATGCCCAGCACTTAATTTATTCTTTTACCTTTATATAAAAATACAAACTGTAAGCTTTAAATATACAATAATTAACCTTATAGCTATGGGCCCCAAGCACCACTTTGGGAAATTATGTAAATACACCAGTTAGTTCACTACAGCTACCTGTAGCAAGGCAGTTCATCTTTGGTCAACCTTTCTGGGGTCCCCACATCCTGCTTCCTGACATAACCAAAATTCAGGTGTCCCTGTTACATGAAAGGTGTACGTGTGGTCTCACAACAGTCTTGGCATCCCCAGGAAGGGTGGTTACTCAAAGCCTGCCCTGGTTGCCAGAACCAGCTGGCCAGTGTGCAGGCTACTCACTGGCCATGTCTGAAGGCGCCTGAGAACTGAACACGAGAATTTTGATAAGCAATTGCAAATTGCAATTACTTCTTCCCGAGAGGTGAGCAGAAAATAGACAGTGATTTACCATGTGGATACATGAACTACTTAGCTGATGTGCGATTGCTGACAGTTCTGGAAAGCACTAAACTCACTGTATGTGCTAGTTAGCTGTTCTGTGCATTGCATGATCCAACAAGGCAGGGAATCAGGAAATATTGCTTACAGTAACTCCATACAGGGAAATGCAGCTCTTGTAACTAGAAGATTGGTCATCCTTGTTCAGATGTACATAATAATGATACTGGATGACTCCCATTGAATTGCAGGAACTTGAAACAACTGGTATTAGTGGGCTCTGCTTCATCTATTACAAGTCCACTAATCACCAAGGTCTCTTCATCCTTCCCCAAAAAGCCTGCACTAACTCCAGCCCTGCCTACCAGGTGCCTAGAGCAACTCTGTAGCATTTCTGCAGCTATCTGTGGCCCTATGATCCAAATGACCTCATACAGTGAACTTTGTAGAAAGTCAGGCTTTCGGGGTCTTTCAGTTCTCAGCAAAATCAGTAGGGTTTTGGCAGCTACGTCTAGAATAGTCTTTGAAAATTGCCAATTTGGTGAGTGTCATTTTCAAGTTTCAAAAGCAGGTGAAGAAAAGCCGTGTGATGAGACATGAAAATGTGCTGAAAGTGGAACAACTTTTTACTGTCAGTCAAAACAGTTTTTTGTGTAGTCCACTGGAACATTTCTTTCTCAATTAATTTATCTATGACTATGATTCAGACTGTTGAAAGCAACAAGGTTACAGTTTCCATCAGGTGAAATAATGTTCTGCTGAAAGTTAAGGGTGAGTACGTGGGTGGAGTATGTGGGGTAATGCAAAAAATTATGGGCAATTTTCTTTGGGGGTGGGCAGTGGAATGCAGCCAGGCGTGCAATGAGAATAAGGTCTATATTTGAACATGTACCACACATCTAAATGGCAATGAACTACTTCAAAAAGGGGGAAAAAACTTTTCTTTTTAGACAGATTGTAAACGAACAACTTTAAATAGCTCTTTAAAAATTTGCCTAGACATTCTGCAAAGCAGGTATTTTGTAATTATCCTGTCAGATTTTCAATAGAAGTCTGACAAGCACAAAGCAATTATCATTTCTCATACCTCTTCCCTTTAATCTGTCCAAACTATGTACTTGGCTGGCAGGAATTTCATCCTCCTAATTATGATGTGAAGTTGCTATTAAAACCAGGAAAGAAAAAAAAAAAAAGAACAAACCCCACACTAACTGAACTACACCTTTATTTATAGCTGAGACGTATTTTCTTGGCTCTGTGTGTCTCATCCAACTCCCAATGATTAAAAGAGGAGTAATATTTGTACCTGGATACTCTGTATTTTGTTAATTAATGAGATTAAGCCATTTCATCCTTTATCTGTACTGTTCATTGCTTTTCTATCCGTACCACAGTAAGTATTAGAAAGACTTAGATTAATTAACTGCAGAAACTAATGCAGGCATGAAAGCCTCATATTACTACAGAAAGAATGGTAGTGGTAGAAATTTTAGTAGCAGCAAGTCTTTGCAGATAGTTCCTACAGTCAGCATAATGAAGCCAGGAAAATTGTTACAGGAAATTAAGCAGCAGCTCCCAGTGTTACTGAGAAGCTTAGCAACTAGCAGCATATGCCGGAGCAACAGAACAAGGCACTGGCCTCAGGAAATGAAGGTGAGATGCAGTGTTCTTGGGCCTTGGCTATTTCTGGTTTAGCATCAGCATAAGGTTATGCATACACTGGAAAAAAAGCATAGTCTTTATTCAGTTTGGCTAATACAAGTTGAGTAATTGGAGACAGAACAGCAGCGACAGCCATGTGACTTGGACTTCAGTTCAGGCAAGCAATTCAAATTCAACCCCAGCCTCTTCAAGCTGATAGGAGAAAACACGGTGCTGGCCCACCGTTTGCAAAACCAGGTTTGCCAGCCTGCACTGGAAACACATTTTTTGTTCGTTACAGTTTAGACTTGTCTTTTGGAGGCCATTCTTATGCCAGGGGGCAATCAGCACCACAACCACAAGGCTTCAAATCTAGCTTATTTTTCTATATCTAAATAAATCTTGTTAGACCAGGACTTGGAATCAGAACTTTACTGAGATGCGATTACAAATTCTATTATACTCCTCGATGAATTTCTTGATTAACTTCTTAATAACTAACTTTTGCCATGAAAAAGGGTATTTAACTTTCATTAATATTGTTCTTGATAATCTTCACAGTGCTAATTGTATGAAAGACACAAAGCTACCTGTCTAGCTGCAAACTAACGAACATAGGAATCACAAATGGTGTGGTGTGCTGAGCTTTCACATGACACTGCTCAGACTTAAATATGACCTTGATGACAGGACTGTGGAATAGAGAAATATCATGGGATTACAGAGGGAAGCTGAGCATATCTCTGAGTACAGCCAGTGGTGGGGAGGAGCCTCCAAGGAAGACACCATTCCTGCCCATTACTCTGCTGGCAGATACAAGGGTAAACTGGGAAGTCTGCTAGGGAAATAAAAATGCTCAATCCCTTTCTGCACGGCTTCCTGCTCACAAGTTAAAAACCAGGGTAGCTTTTCACAGAAGTCCAGACTTTGGAGAGAAGGATGGGTTGGGTGAAGGATACTTGCCAGAGCACTGTTTTCCTGAATCCTGAAGAATATCTGCAGCAGAAAAATATGCTGCTTCTTTTTCAAAAGGAACTGCCATCTGCTGAAAAACAAACTCTTATCTCTTGTAAAAAAAATTCTTAGTGTTCCTTGAATTTCTCTGATGTAATGTAGACATGGAGACTCTCCTTAGAATCAGTGGATAGAAAAGGCATCTCTAAGGTGTGCATTGATCACGCAGAAATATATGGAGATGTGTAAAGTAAAAAAAAAAGGGGGGGGGGCAGGAACAGCTGGAGTGGGTGGGAAGGTCCATCTCACTCAGCTTCCCTTCCAGACACTGGCCAAAAGAAAGCAGATGCCTCGGACAGTAGCTAAAAAGAGTGAGGTGCACGCACTTCCTACTAACACCCTTGTGGCTCTCACCAAGCCAGTGAGTTGCACTCTGGGTGTTGTAGGTGCTGCCACTGCAACTTACCATTTATTTTAATATGAGCCTGACTCCACAAAATTGAAAGCTATACATTTTGGACGAAACACATCCAATAAAGAAAAAAACCCAACCCAAACTATTCTTCAAGTTCAAATCTGAACAAGAACTAATGGCGGACAAAAATTAGGGCTGCACATGTGAATGTAACCTTTCTTACACATCTTGTTCTTAGTTTTACATTAATTGCCAAAAATGTCTGATAATGTTTAGATTGGAATGTCTCGCTCCACTCAACACACACCACACAAACTGCAAGGGCCACAAGGTGTGAGTGCATGCTTTGAAATCCCACTATAATGGTCTGGAGAGAGAGCTGGTAGTCACCAACGCTGCCTTCCTCTTCAGCTTTGCCAGCTACCTTTCACTGCTGTACAATATTCCAGTTTCCCAAATATGTAATTGTGAAAGAGCAATATCAAACAGCTAGGAACACAGGAAAGTGATAAATCAAACAGCACTACTGTGTGCACTCCACTGAAAAATAGTGAATAGATTGTAGTTAACCATTATCCCAGCAATAGCCAAAAATAACTCAGCCTTAGAAAATGTAAAACCCCATGTTCTCATAAAGGGCTTTTCTCTTTGTTTCTCCCATTTCCAAAGACGCCTATTTTTCATGGAGTCATTGGTGTTCTCCAGATCCCAGCGCCACTGAGAATTAATATTTTGTTCACTGGGCAGAGCTTTAATCATTGCAGGGTGTAAATTCTGGCATATGTGAACTTTAAAAAATAATAATAATGCTAAAAATGGCTCATATGGTGGGTGCAGTGTCACGATCCAATATAGCACACAAAATCCTGTATCATCGCAACAAGGAGCATGCATGATTATTTACATTATATTATAGGACCCTGGGTAATGTCTTTGCTGAATTTTCAACATTCCTTCCACTTCTTTTCCTCTTACCTTCACTTTTTTGTCTGGGTGAAATAAAAACACAAGTACTCACAGCACTGTTGCAAGGCAGATGGTTCCAAAATACAAACACAACTAATGCTTTTAAAATCACAAAGAAGAATGATCTGTTTAAAGTGAAAGCAATAACAGTATCTGAGATAATATGGGCCAGGGGTTAGAAAATTATCTAATAAAATGAAAGTTTATCTGGAGCTACTTTTTATTTTCGACCTGAATTTATAAGTGTATAATGGATTGATGGGATAAAAGAAATGTCAACTGTATTCAGTTAAACAAATCTTTCATTGCTTTAAAAAGAGAGAAACATAGAGTACAAGCTTTGCCAAAATTTTGTTATCATGGCCTGAGCATTTGATGATAACTGCAAGGGTTTACTATTAAATATCAGTAAACAAAACAAAGAGAAACAGACAACTAGCAAAG